CTCTCTCTCTCTCTCTCTCTCTCTCTCTCTCTCTCTCTCTCTCTCTCTCACACACACACACACACACACACACATGTTAGGGTTGAGGAAAACAGAAGTAGAGACTATTTCAAACTTATTTCTGGGACTTATTTGTTAGAACAGTTAGAATTTCAGAGTTACAGGGTATCTGGTGTCACAGGAACCACCACTTCCAAGATGTCCCTACGCTGATTTCAATTAATCATCCTGGAATGTCCTCAGGGTACTTCTCTTTCCTTGAAGCTGGGAAAAACCCCTCCTTTCTCTTTGGGCCATGTGTTAAATAGTATGCCCTTTCAGTTTGGGAGAACACTCACACCCCAACCTCTTGGAACTTTTGGATGAAAAGAGACAGAGAGCTACATGTGGAAAAACCAGCCTCCAAAAGTTTACCTGTAGGACTGAACCTTTCAACACTCCCCACCCCATTGGAGGGTAGTTTGGCCTATTGCAGTGCTTCCCAAACTAGAATGCATGTGCAGACAGTCCCCCCGGGGCTCTGGTTGAAATGCAGATTCTGATTCAGTGGTCTGGCTGAACTAAAACTGTGCATTTCCCTCATGTTCTCTGGTGATGCCAAAGCTGCTGGGCTGTGCGAGCCACCCTTTGAATAGCTGAAGCCAAATGACCTAAGAAAAGGCTCTGGCTTAAGGCCATCTGGGTTCAAGGCCATTGCCAGTTCAGCTAGCTGAATGTCCTGGGGAAATTCTCTGTTAACCTCTCCTTTTGCTGGCTCTGCCTTGTTCACACGATGTAGTGGTGAAAACATGGGCTCTGGAGCCAGGCTGCCTGGCTTTGAATCCTGTCTCCCTCCTCCTTATGTGACTATGGGTAGGTTACTTAATCTCACTGGGCCTCAAAGTCCTCATCCTTAAAATGGGCTCACCTCTCAGGGGCGTTGTGAGGATTCAACGAGTATTAATGCACATAATTGTTTGGAACAGTGGCTGGCCCGTAACAAGCACCCCACCAATGTTGGCCATAATCTGTGAGCGTGCTCTGTGAATTAAAGTACAAACAAATGCCTTCCTTTTTTGACCTAGAAAAAAATACTCCCAGTGAAGACAGCATCCCATGTACCCGCGACCTCAGTTGGAGGGCTTCCTTCACCTATGGAGAGTGGGAACGAGAGAACCCCTCTGGGCCGCAGCCCCTCTCTCTCCTCAGCACTTTGGCAGCTTCCACGGGGCCACAGCTGGCCTCACTCATAGGTACAGTCATGGGATTAGTCTGGCTGCTTCCGTGGGACAGGCCTGGAATTTGACCTCAGGCCTGGGTTCAGATCCCAGGGTCCTGAGGGTGCTTCCAGGAGGCTAGGGCGTGGGAGTGTGTGTGTGTGTGGGGGGGTGCCAGCCACAACCACCTCAGCCCTTTTTTTTTCCTGCCCTGTTCTTCTCTACCTCCAACTGGGCTGAATGAACCCTAAGTGTGGCACCTCAGGAGCCCCCAAAGGCCTCTAGGAGTTCCTGCAAAGTGGCTCTAAGGGATGATACTGTTGTCACTAGAGCTGCTTTCTCCCTCCTGGGTGGAGACATGAGGGCTGCCTCTGCAGGGTTTCCACAGGCTCTTTCTTTGTGAAGGCGGAGAGCTGGCTCTCCCTTTTCCTTTCCAGAGCTCTTGGGGAGCCCTAACCATCTGCTGCAGAGTAAGAAGGAGCTAGGACAGGATGGGTGGGGCGGGGTAGGCCAAGCGCTTGTCTCTCCATGCTCCAAGGTGCATCCATCCATCCATGTATTCATTTGACAAATATTCATGAACTACTTCTTATGTGCCTATCTGACCAGAGATAGGTCCCTAAAGAAGACAGAGTGGTTTATGTTTTCTAAAATAAAATGTTATTAATAAACCCCTAACTCTTACAAGATATGTTAGTAATAGTTGGCTATTTTAAAAATTAACGTAAGTGTCTATGTGCCCACACAAGGGCTTTTTAGGCCAGTTATATCTTATTGAATATTTTTCTCTCTTACATTAACAGGAAATTCTTTTTGAGCCACCCTTTCACACTGGGGAGAATCTAAGCAGCCCTCGCCAGTACCACTCTGCAGCATTAGCTTTATGAGGGACTGACTATCTGGATGGAGGGAAGGAGAAAGCTGCAACTAGGGAAAAACTAGAATCATCTCACGCTGATAGCATAGCCTTTCCTTGGAGAACCATTTTGGAGCATGGCTCTTGGATGAGAGGCAATATTCCAGCGTTATTCCAGCATGTAACTTCGGCGATCTCACCACCACACCCCACCTCCATTCCACCAGGCAGACACAAAACGATGTGTTCTCGGAAGGGCCAGGACCAAGAGGTGGAGAGAAGGAAGGAAAGGAACGCAGGATCAGAGGAGAGGTGGAAGAGAACAAAATGGAGGTGAAGAGGGAGGAAATCAGAAAAGAAGAGAGATACACAGAGGTGGTTAAGAAAAGGAAACAGAAGGGGCTTCAGAGAAAAGCTGAAGAGGACAAGAGAAGAAATACACCTCTTAGAGACGCCTCACCCAGCTTCTATTTATCTAATTTAAAACTTGATAGTAAGACCATATACCAAAAAAAGAGATGTGCTTTCTTCTCTGTTCAGGCTACTCTGGATAAGGGTCAGAGACGATTTCCAGCCAAGGGCCTCTCCATAAATTTCCCTTTTTTGCCAGTTTTTCTTGTTAGTCCCTCTTTTCTGATTCAAGTTTTGGCCCTTCTTCCTTAGCCCATTCCCTAACTTGGACTTGCTAGCCTGGCCCTCGTGTTCCATATGGAAGTTTGGGCTTGAGGCTGCGGAAAGATTCCTACAGGAGGAAGTCAGACAAGGTGTGTGAGATGGGGGAATTTCTCTTTTGTGTTCAGGCTAAGTTTTGTTGTTTCAGCCCTATAAACACTGGCTCAATTTCTTTTGCATATGACACCCCCTTAAATTTTGTCATACCTTGTTAGGGCTTATTAAATGATCAGTTCCAAAGTGAGGAGATACAGGCTCAAAGCACAGGTAAAATCAGAGGTTCGCAAATTGTAGATCAGGAGAGTCACTAAGAAGTGTCTGTGAAATGGCCCACGGGCTGGCATCTTTGTTTAACACGTGCAATATTTCACATACAATAAAAACCAGACTATGAGTATTTCAGAAAGACTGCCCAACCTTTCACCTGGAAAGCGTTTTGGACATCTTGCTTTGATCTAAGATTTCCTAGAAGGGTCTTTTTCTTTATTGAAGTGGTTTTCAGACTGAAAATGTTGGAGAGCTAAAAAGTAAGCTCCTAGGTCACTGTCACTCTTTCCCAAGATGAGTTAGGTTCTAATCCTTGGTGATTTCAATATCCCCATAGATGATCCTTCCCATATCCTGATCACTGTTCCTTGAACTTTTGCCCAATGGTCCCATCCTCCATCCTCCTCAGCCACTGACTCCCCTGATTTTACTCTAGGGTCTGGCATTAATAACTGTACCCCATTATTCCCATTCTCCAGCTATTCCACCTATCTTTCCCTCTGAGTCCAGTAATCCTTCGACACCACCAATCCTACAATTTATTGCTCCTTCTGGGTTTTCACTGTCCCTCACTCTCCTCATGTCCTCATTTTCTTCCCTGACAGCCTAGATTCTGTGATGAATCATTATTATCATTCCCTTGCATGCACCTCAACACCGTTTTTTAAAAGGCAACATGAAAATTCTGAAAACTGGACCCAGCTCCAAACACATTAATACTACAAATAGCCCCTTTCCCAAATATATACCTGAGTTTAACTGCTCATGAAAATTTACATGCACTGCTCCATTCTTAAGTATGCCCCTCCCCCAGCACCTCAACACCTTTGTGTCTCTTAGTCTTTATTCTGTTCACGTGGCTGAGTCCAATTCTGTGCTAGCTCAATGCCTGCGTCATGCCGCTAAACTTGCCTGGAGAAAACCGCCCGACATACTAACCAGTCTCACCTCAGAGTCATAATCACAAGCCTCAAGAGGGTCCTTAATGTTGCCTGGAGATCATACTGTGTTTTCCTCATCTGTTCTCTCTGCTGAATGGCTATTTCACATCTTCTCTCTCCTCCAACCCCACAGTGCCTCCTACTGATCCAGCTTCCCACTTCACTGAAAACATAGTAACAATTTATAAAGAACCCCAAGCTGTCACCACCATGTCTACCACTTACCTGGAACCAGTCCCACAGATCTAGTTTCTCTCCTTGTTGTTATGGAAGAACTGTCTCCACTCTAAGTAAAGTTCAACTATTCCCCTTTTGTGCTGGATCTCATCCCATCTCACCTACTCAAGGACATTGCTCCAGCAACTAACTCTTCCTTCTTTTACCTATATCATCAATTTGATCCTAGTCCCAAGATCCTTCCCACCAGCAATAAGCAAGCAGGCATTTCTTCTAAGTTATTTCTCCCATTTAAAAACCAAACAAAATAAAACAAAACCTTTCTTGGCCCCTCTGCCCTTGCTGCTCCATTTTCTCCTCTCCTATATAGTAAACTCTTTGAAAGGGTTTCCATTCCAATTTCTTGCTTCCCATTCTCTCTTGAACTCCTCTAGTAGATTTTTGGACCCACTACCCCAGCAAACCTGATCCCCACATTGCTAAAGCCAATGGCCAACCTCTCACTGTTAGCAGCATGTGACATATGTGACTACTCCTTTCTCCTTGAAACTTTCTTCACTTGGATTCTAGAACACTGCACTCTCCTGGTGTTCCTCCTCCTTTGCTGGCTTTTCTTCTGAGTTTCATTTGCTGATTTATTCTCATCAACACCCCTTCACCATCTTCAAACATTAGAAATTTCCAAGACTCAGATACAACTTTGAAATCAACTCCTCGTCATCACTCTCATTATGATCGTTTGCTACCATTCATCCAGTAATGTGTCAGGATACTTATTGATGGTATTTGATATACATTGCACCAGTATAGATCATCAGTACATTGATACTAACACAGAGTTTCTGCACCATGGGTGTCCCAGGGGTGTTGGGAGGACAGAGGTGTGGCCAAAGGGTAGCCGTTGGAGATGCTTGCTAGGCCATAAGGTCTAGATCCTCTCTCTATGAACTCTTAAATAATGGATGTTGTTGATGTTGTAATTTATATATGAGTTAGGACCGCAGAAATAACAATTTGCCTATTGCTGGTTGATGCCTACCCCCGGGTAGGGGAATTGGGAGTTGGGAGCATACACAGGCAGGAACTACATAAAGACCCGCCATGACCCTCTTTTAGTTAGGAGTTTTTATGTTCATACCACACTGTGTGATTACTTTTGGCCTGAGTTCATAAGGCCCACCATGCAGGCTTCCCCTGAGCTTGCCAGGTTTAGCATGTGGCCCATTTTTCCTTCATAATACAGTCAGATTATGAAGGTGCCAAAGGCATGAAGATAACTAGAGCGATCCAAGAAATCCTCTGCAGACATACTCACGCTCCATGAACCAGGACGTGGCAGACAGGGTGCCTCGCCCACAGCCGCCTAGAGTAGGGGGCTGGGTCCCGCCATCCCAACAGGACCTGGGACCAGAGTTGGGCGGGAATTCGCCCACGCAACTAGGCGCGCTCGGGGACGTGGCGCTTTCCAGCCAATGGAGGCTACGCGATTAAAGGACCAATGGCTGCCCAGGAAAGCTCTGCGTCAGCGGCGGGTTTGTTGCTGATTGGTCAGAAGGCCCCCCGGTGAGGCGGAAAGGGGCGGGGTGCGGAGTCGCTTCCGGTTGGGAGGTGCTTGTGCGCGTGAGCTAAGCCGGTGGGTGAGCTGCTGCTGCTGCAGCAGCCTGGGTTGTGGGCGCTACCGGGAAGGGTAAGTATGGCGGTGCTCGGCCTTTTCTCCATAGCTTCCTCCCTCTTAGCTTTCTTTTTGTGCTCAGTCTTCGCTCCCGGCGCGGCATGGATCTCCCTCGCTCTCGGCCTGTGTTCTACTAGTTCGGGGACTTGGGGCCTGAGCCGTCTCACGACCCCGTTGGCCCTAGGCTTGCAGCCTGGGTTGAAGGCCGCCGCTGTCTTTCCCGCGCCCTCTGGGAAGGCGCTTGGGTCCCGGCGACCTCCGGATCCCGGCTTTACCTCCTGTAGGGTACTGTTTTGCGCCTGGCTTGCCACGTTTTCGTCCTCCGTCCCTGGGCCTGGCCACTCATCCTCGGACTAGAGGGTCACTCTTGTTTACCACCTGAAGGTCAGAGGGCAGTCGGGTAGTGTTATTGTAATAGCTCCCCGCCACCTCCCCCTCACGGGCCTGCTCGTGTCTGCCAGCCCCGCTCCAAGGCCACATCCCAAGAGTACGGTGCATCTGCCAAAAAAGTCGCGTTCGCTGACTTTGAGGGTGCAGAAACAGGGATGGGGGGGGGCGGGGAGTAGAAAGCATGAAGACATTATGTGATTTTTTTTTAAGTTATTGTAATTTTAGAGAAGCCGAATGTTTCGAGCTTCCATGTATAGCTGCATATTTAAGTCAGCGACGGAAAATAGCTTTAAAATCTTTACTAGGGAATTGTATTTTCACTTTGTTTTGTTGCTTCTAGTCCCTGAGCCTAGTTCTGATTTTTAGCATGCCCCCAAATAAACTGTAGCTGCCCTGATGAAGAATGTAGTAATATGGTGTGCAGTTCAAAAGCTGCTTTTGCATCCAAGCAAAAAAGCTTCTTGGATCTCCTAATAAAACTTCAGGGCTTTCAATCTCAATTCCTAAGTGTATACACTCCCAGAATACTGTCTTTGAGAATTGAATTTCATTCACTTCCTGGCATGGACAGTCAAGTCAACCTTAATGAATGGTAAGTTAGGTTGCTTCTGGTTTAATTTTGTAGCTGGGAGGTAGAGAACTGTGTCATCTCTGATAAATTAGTCTTTGCCATACATAGAATGGAACGTGACACAAGACAGACGCATGTTTGACCTCATTCAGTAGATTTCGTTAACCAAGTACCAAATGATGGCCATCACTGAAGAATTCACGTAGAACTGTATAGTGCAAACGAGGGTCCAGAGATAACTTGTGAATTATATGTATAACGTGTGTGTGTAGAGAGGATGAATTTGCTTAGGCTTAATCTGAGTTTTACAGTGATTCAGGGGTCTTCACCTGGATCCTCTTGAGAATCACAACTGGGAGAACCGTGAGCTGACAGAGATCAATTGGGTATGTCTGAGTGGATGGTACTCAGATACAACTTTGAAATCAGCGCCTCATCATCACTCTCAGTATAATCATTGTTTGCTACCATTCATCCAGTAACATGTCAAGGCACTTATTGATGGTATTTTATACACATTGCACCAGTATAGATCATCAGTACATTGATACTAACACAGAGTTTCTGCACCATGGGTGTGCCAGGGGTGTTAGAAGGACAGAGGGGTAGCAAAGGGATAGCCGTTGGAGATGCTTGCTAGACCGTAAGGTCCTAGATCCTCTCTCTAGGAACTCTTAAATATGGATGTTGTTGGTGTTGTAATTTATGTATGAGTTAAAGCTGCTGAAATAACAATTTGCCTGTTGCTGGCTGATGGCCATATCCGGTAAGGGGAATTGGGGGTTGGGAGCATCCACAGGCAGGAGCTACATTGCTGCCAAGCACCGTTCACCTAATCTAGTAAAATATATTGGTCTATAAGAAGTGTAAGACACTGTATTAGGGACTGTAGAGGGATATTGATTTATATTAGCTACGATTCCTGCCTTCCAAAAATGTAGCATCTACAGGGGAGTTGAGGAGACAACTTAAAGGAGCCTCTCATCATTATTGTGGAGTGGTACAAACAAGCTTTATAAAAGGTTAGAAGAATGGGTACAGATCACTTCCAGCTGGAGTGATAATATGAGATAAGTCTTTTCATCTAGGATATAAAAATTATTTATAGACATTTGGCACTGCAGGGAGGCTGAGCTAAAATAACTACCTAATTCTCAAGGACTTTATGCTTGCTACACATGCACAGCAAAATTACAACTGGAAACCAAGGCGCTTGTCCCTACATTTTGCATAGCATTCTTATGACACTTAATTATGCATTAAAGTTTCATCAGCCAAAAGGGGACTTTTCCTCCCAGAATTTCTAGAACTCTTTTTCTTAAAGAAAATTTTTTGCTCTGTAGCCAGAAAAAGTTAGTTTGTACTGGGTTGCTTTGGTTATAGAACTGATGAAGCCTGAGTAATACTTCGTCATTCTCAAAGCTTTTCTCCTGCAGCCAAATTTTGCTCTTTTATATATACTCAACTGTCTTATAAATATATACCCTCAGTCACACAAATAATTAGAATGTATTAATGAACTAATGTAAACTTACTCCATCACTAGAGAAACATTGAATAAATGGTTTGTCGTTATCATAACTTTTATCAAATCATGAAGGATGACATTATTACTTTAATGTGATAATTCATTATTGGTACTTGTACCAGAGTTTGTAAGTGAAGAATGTCAGATAGATAACCAAATAGCTTTAATTTCCAGGTTTCATAAGCTGGGACTTAGTGTAATTAAATGGCTATCAGTCTTTTCCCCCCAGTCCACAACTGAAATAGACACGTAAGCAGTGAGATCCTGCTTTTGCTGCATTATAGAGGAATGCCTTTTTTCCTGGCTGTCCAGCTCAGAGAGCTGGAATTTTATCGCCACACCCATTTCTCCCACTTGTTAACATTGAGCAATGGGTCTTTGGTCAACCAGAATAACTGTGGGATCACTCAGTGCTAATGTTCTTGAGAAGCTGAATTGAATTCAGGCATCTACATGTCCCTGAAACAATTTCTTTTGAAGGGGGAGAAATGGCAAGAATTTATAGAGCTTTCAAGGAAATTTTTGAATGGATAAATTAAACTGATAATCTTAAGGCCCATTGTTGTTGAAAGAAATTCAAGCTGGTGCCTTTAATCCTTTCTTCTTATAAATTTACCGGAACAATTTATGAAAATAATTTTGCAGAAGACAGTTATTGGTAACATATTGCAAAAGGATGATAGTTACTTGATTTCTGTTCTAGCCCTTTTTTGTCTATAACATGGTGCTACCCAATAGAAACAATACAAGCCACATGTGTAATTTTAAATTTTCATGTAAAAATTTAAAACAAGTGAAATTAATTTTAATTTACTTAAATCCAATACATACAAAATACCACTTGTTCAGTAATAAATAACACTACCACATCTTAATTCGACCACATTTCAAATGCTTAGCAGTCACATGTGGCTAGTAGCTACTGTACAAGTCTAGATTTTTAATTTTTTTTTAAGAAAAAGTATTAGATGTTACCTTTGGTGGGGGAGGGGCAAAATTTTAGAGCTGATAGGTCATTTGAGAAATGAGAGATGGGGAGATGAATTTTTCACAACTATTGATTTACCTTCTAGATCATGTGGTAAAAGCTTATACAACCAATCTTCATTTATGTATATAATATGTTTTCCTAATACCCTATTTTCCGTTGATGTGTAGTTGTGATGATGGGGGAAGGATAAAGAGAAGGGTCATTTAACTTTCTATCATTTGGTTTCAGTTTGGTTGAAAAGAGAAAGACACTTCAGAAATAACTGCACCAATGTAGTTCTTCAGGTACCTTGTGTGAAAAGTGGTTTTATATTCCTCACATCTTCCTACATAAAATCCTGTCTTGGGGATATAATTTGTTTCTATTTGAACAGTTTTATATATATGTGGGTTTAGGTAAACCTAGTACAGTCTTTTTTTAGTGTTTGTAGTAATAAAACAAGAGGCCGTCTGTTAACATTTTTAATAGCCAAGAGTTGATATATTTATATGTGGGTACCGAGAGTACATCTACTGGGGGTGCCAAAAAAATGTATACAAGTGGACACAGGTCAACGTTGCTCAAGCAGTAGTTCGCCGTAATCAGAAGTGTCTGGACGCTGATGGTAACCACTTTGAGCACCTCTTGTAATTGTAGAAGTTAAGCGTGACTTGTATTCATCTTTTGTTATCAGTATATATTGAGTATTATAATTTTGATACAGTTTTCCTTTCTTAAAATGTGTATACTTTTTTTTGGCACAGCACACGCACCCCCCCACCCACACACCCACACACAGTTACTTAAAGTGCAGGTTTGTCGTTGCCCACTGCAGAGGTGAAAGGAGGACCATTGGCTTTGTCAGTTAGGTGGTCCTCGATGACCCTTTTAGGCAGTTTCATCAGTGGTAGATAGATTTCAAGGTGATAGTAGGTGGTGAAAAGCAGAGACAGCAACATAGACAACTCGTAGAGACTGTATGGTTGAAGGAAAGGGAAGAGCATGTCGAGCCTGGGGAACACTGATTTTGGATTATGGAGACCTGAGAAGTATTTGATTGACAGAATGGAGGAGCCTGTAGAGAAGTGGGGTTGAAAGTTTAATTGAGAGGGGAAGGAAAGAGAGGGATAAATAAGGCAAGATCACTTGGCTTTTACTCTGGAATTCTTCTCTTGTCCTTGTTCAAGATTTTAAGCCTCAAACTTAAATGTAAATTTCCCTCTACATTACAGTGAATCAGTCTGTTCCATTTCTGTATGTCACATGTGTCAGAACTTTGTACAGTACCTTTTCCAAGCCCTGATAGTGTTAGTGGGCTTAAGCATTTATTCACATTGTAACATTTGAGGTTTGCAAGAGTTGTTACAGTATTTTATTCTAGGGATGTAATTAATCATTTATAAAACCTTTCTAAATGTGAAGTCCCCTCCTTATTAATAGACATAAGGAAAACCCTCTATTGCAGATGACTCTTGATTTTACTTGATTCTGTAAGCCTCTAACATTATATTGTTTGAGTGTATCACAGAATATCAACGTATAATTTGTTTCTTGTCTCTAGAGTTTTGTCTAAAGAGTTATTAGAAGTTTGAGTTTCATTTTGCCTTAAAATAAGGCATGTTCGCTTTGATATTTAAGAGAGCTGCTAAATCTCTGATTTTCTCTTCATTGTTCACTGATTTGATTGATCAGCTGAGTTGTTGAGGGTAGGCTGGAGTGTTATTCTACAGCGGTATGTTTTTCTTTAAAAATAGGGCTTCTGGGCCGGCCGAGTGGCGCGATGGTTAAGAACTGGCTTGGGACACCAGAGGGCCCCGGTTTGGATCCCACATATGAGGGCCGGTGATACTGCCCTCTACAGCTAAGATGCTGAACAACAGCTCAACCTGGAGCTGGGCTGCCCGCTGGCTACGGCGTAGGCTGCAGCCCCTGCTGCAGTGGGTTGCCATGGGCTACCGTGTGTAGCCTGCAGCCAGCGTAAGCGGCCAGCAGCCGCAGTGAGTGGCTGTGCAGAGGCCGGCGACTGATCTGCCTCGCCTGGGAAGAGCGCAATGATGGTGCCAACTTGGGCCAGTGAAGCAACGTCCTCCACAACTAGATTGAAGAACAAAAATGACAGCAACTTGTCTGTTCCCCTTCCCCCAATTTCCAAGCACTGTTCCCATCCCCCCAATTCCCCAATAAAAAAATCTAAAAAAAAAAAAAAAATAGGGCTTCTTTCTTAAGAATAGATATGTTTTTCCTTCAGTCTCCTTATTCAGTCTGGAGAAATGGCTTGAAAATGTTTGCTACCTAATACTGAAAATAATTTCTATAGTAGTGTTTAGAAAGTAATACACATAAAAAGGTAATACAAACAATAAAAAAAATAATAATAATAATTTAAAAAAAAAAGGTAATACACATGAAGTGTGTGCTCATTTACAAAAAGTAGACAACACAACAGAGCACAATATTAAAGTTCACTCCACACCAGCCTCACCACCCTCATCTCTTCTCTCTTGAGTGTAGGGGTTACCACTGTTTACAGATAGATGTTTATCCCTCTACACCATTTTTGTGCATATATGTTATGTTTTATACATGGTACTCCTGGGGTCCTTATGCTGGGAAAGTTTGGAAAACACATATGGAATGATAAAGTAGTTGTTATCCATCACTGTACCATCTGAATGGTTTGATTTTTGAAAAGTGATTTTAAGATCGAGCTTGTCGGAGATGGCTTGGTGCTCTAGGCCAAAGACACTGCTCAAATATTTCAGTGGCTCCTAATCTGATGATCACCAGAATCACCTGAGAAGCATTTAAAACTACAAATGCCTGGATTCAACTTAAGAGATTCTAATTCAGTAGGGAAAACTTTTTCAAAGCTTCCTAGGTGATTCTAATAACCAGCCAAATTTGAAGACTAGACCACTGATGTACAGAAAGTACTTGTGGAGTATTACGTAGGATGGAGTATTACATAGGAGTCAGTAGGTCTGGATTTAAATTGCGGTTCTTTCACTTGTAAGTCTTACAAACTTGGGCAATAGGATTAAAGTTCTACTTTGGTGTTTTTTATTTATTTTTTATTTTTTTAAACGATTTTATTGGGGAATTGGGAGAGGGGAACAGTGTTGGGGAATCGGGGAAGGGGAACAGACAAATTGCTGTCTTTTTGTTCTTCAGACTAGTTGTGGAGGACGTTGCTTCACTGGCCCATGTTGGTATTGTGATCATTGTGCTCTTCCCGCCTGAGGCAGATCGGTCGCTGGCCATTGGTCGGCTGCTCACAGCCGTTCACACGGGCTGCCGGCCACTCATGGTAGCTTACGGCAGCCCCACTGCAGCCTAGACCATCGCTGGCGACTCCCGGCAGCCCAGCTCCAGGTCGAGCTGTTGTTTGCCATGTTAGCTGTAGAGGGCTCAGCGTCACTGGCCCATGTGGGATCTGAACTGGCGGCCCTGCTGCTCAAGCAAAGAGTCGTGCTCCCAAGCCAACTCCTAACCAACGAGCCACTCGGCCGGCCCACTTTGGTGTTTTTTAAAGAGAGACTACTTACAAGGTAGATGTTTTAACTATAATTCCTTGTCAGCCTACAATCAGATGAAGGAAATTGGTGAAAATTTCTCAACATAAAACTGAAAGTCTGATGTTCTCCCATACTTACTTTGTGGGTTAAGTAATAATTGGGATAATTTCAAAGTAATAATTTCACTGGATGTGAGCTTTTAACTTCTTATTTAATTATTAAGCATACTTCCTCCCAAATGAACCACCTTCCCTTTCCTTAAGGGCTGATGACCATGGACCTGCGGCAGTTTCTGATGTGCCTCTCTCTGTGCACTGCCTTGGCCTTGAGCAAGCCCACGGAAAAGAAGGACCGCGTCCACCATGAACCTCAGCTCAGCGACAAGGTTCACAACGATGCCCAGAGCTTTGATTATGACCATGATGCCTTCCTGGGCGCTGAAGAAGCAAAGACCTTTGATCAGCTGACACCAGAAGAGAGCAAGGAAAGGCTTGGGTAAGGTGTCATCTCTTAGGGGGCTAGTTAGGGTAATCACATTTCTTTATAAATCAGCTCATTCTTTTTTCTCTTCTGACTCAGTCACTCAAGAAAGCTTTGTTGAACTACATCTTCTGAAAGCTAATCACAGAATTGCTACCACTAAAATTTAATTTAAGCACTTGCTTTTTTAACATTTCTCCATCGAATAGCAGTTTTCACCTCATTCTACAAAGCAAAGTTATTTTTGCAAAAAAGTACCAAATATTAAAGGACCAGTTTGAACTGCATCCTCTTGATCCCAAAGGAACATTATGTGGTAGGGGGCAGGGGGGATTCTCGTCCCTGACCCTTTTAATTTTGAAAACTATCCATGACCTATTGTTGCCCAAGCCAAGTCTTTGAGTGGATAATAAATGCAAATTAGGTTCCTGGACTAATTTCTGTAAAGTTTATGATTTCCAAGAATGCCTTCACCCTCTTTGTTTTCTTCTCAGATATTTGCTTAATTAAAAACAAATGCCAAAGCAAACCAACCTTGCCTTTTAGAAGATTGTAAAGTAATGGTCTTAATGTCAGAGTATGAGTTGCTGTTTCAGTAACAGCTGGGCCATGGTCGGGTCAGTGACTCTCTCAGCAGGTGTCTTCTACCTAAACCATTGATTTGGTAGTCTCCATTGATATATACATATATATTTTTAAAGAATTTATTGGGGAATTGGGGGAGGGAAACAGCCAAGTTGTTGTCCTTCAATCCAAGTTCAAGTCCAGTCACGCTGCTCAGCTCAAGATGCTGTGTTCAATTAGTTGGGGGTGGGTGCAGCCACCATCCCATGCAGGAGTTGAACCAGCAGCCTTGTTAAGAGCGCACGCTCTATCCACTGTGCCATTCGGGTGGCAGCTCAGCTCAAGGTGCCGAGTTCAGTCTTAGTTGTGGGCAGGCATAGCCCACCATCGAACAGGCAGCCTTGTTAGGAGCACGTGCTCTCACCAGCTGAGCCATCCTGCCACCTGTTGGCAGCTCAGCAGCAGCTCAGCTCAGATGCAGCTCACTGGCCCATGTGGGAATTGAACTGGCGACCCTGTTGCTCAGAGCTTGCATTCTTGAGCAAGCTCTTAACCAACTGAGCCACTCGGCCGGCCCCCAGTTGATTATTTTTAACTGAGGCTCTGAGAATGTCTTTTATCGCTTCCAAAGCCTTGCTTTTTAAGGAAAAATGCAGGTCAACTTAGTGAACATTTTCTCCTCAGTGACCACTGTTGGTGTAATATTCTGAACTATATTCAAGAGATTTTTCTGGAAAATTGTACCACATAGAAATTTCCCAAAATATTTTGCTGTCATGGATAGTGTTATGATTAGAAGATACAGGTTTTGCTTTGAGTGATACTTGAGGAATAAATTCATTGTATTCTTTCATTGGGTTATCTGCTTACTGACGTGTACAATATTTTATTTTTAAACATTGACAGAAATAATCAAAAGATTTTGCTATGTAGAATGAGAAACTGTCCTTAAACACTTGAAAGTAGATAGCGAAAACAAATATACTAAAGAATCAGTTTTCTGTTAGGTTGCTTTTTTAACTTTTAAAGACCGTGCTCGCTTTTCATTTTAATCTTATAACTGCTAACATTCCAGGCTGGAAACAGAGCTGCATGAGGGTGTTCTCAGTCTTCATGTCTGCCTATTAATAACGTGCATGTCCAGCCCACATTTTGATCTGCACATCTCTCAGCAAAATTATTCTTAAATAATGAAGGGCCCTTGGGTTTGGTGTCAGTCAGCATGTTCTAGCTCTGCAGGTAGCGGAATAGTTCTGCTAGCAGCTTTCAGTAGAGAGAGATGATCCTTGTTGTCATCAGTGACTATCAAAAGTTCGACACATGAGCAGACTCCATGTTTGATTAGAATAAGATGGTTAAAATCATGTTTTTCATGGAATGTATGAGTGAACCAAGTACTATTTGCTTCTCCCAAAGTTTGGAGCTAATGGCAGATATCCCAATTTATAAGGCGACATACTATGGGAAGTAGAAATTTCAGGTGAACTTTTTAAAACTTATTTAACTGGGGCATTTCTAAACATTGTTTTGGTACAAAAGAGGTTGGGAACAACAGATTCCCCCTCTTTTCCATCTATTCTGAAGGCAAGTAATTATTAGGAGCCCAGATCATTGTTTATAGCTGTAGTTGTAAAAAATGCTACTATTTTTAAATCTTCAGTAATAATATCTAAAAGACCACAGGAAGCATTTTAAAGCAATTTTAATATACAGTTTTCAGTTCTTTATTAAGAATGTTGACAAAATAGAACATTTTTTTCTTATGTGTATATTCTCAACCATCCAAAAGAAGTCTCAGTATACTTAATTTTCATTTATGTGCCCTTCATTGAGGATTCATTTGTTTTGATGTGGTGGTCCTTAATATAAAAATGTTCTCTCCCTTGATATATTTGCTATAGAAATTAATTAGAGCAGATCATCATCCTTTTTTGGGTCACAGGCCCAGCCCCTTTGGGAATCTAATGGAAGCTAAGGACTCTTCCTCAGAAAAGTGTACACGTGAATATACATAAAATTTTGCATGCTGAAAATTTCGGGAATGTTTATGAACCCTAATGGAGCCCACTTATTGACCTAGGTTCTTTAAAAAAAGAAAGGGTTTGCTTTATGCCTCTTGAAATGTACAGGCACGTGTTACCTCTTAGGAGAAATAACACAAAGTCCACTAAGTGCATTGTGTCTCTCATGGAGTAAATGCTTTTTTAGTGGCATCATAACTGCATCTGTGGGGTTCTCCAGTGTCAGGAATACACCACCATTAGCTTCATAAATCTATACAGGCTCTTAAAGATCAGAGCTTAGGGCTGGCTGAGTGGCACGTTGGTTAGGAGTTGGCTTGGGATGCCAGCTCTGAGCAGCAGGGCCCTGGTTTGGATCCCACATGAGGGCCAGTGATGCTGCGCCCTCTACAGCTCGACCTGGAGCTGGGCTGCCGTGAGTCGCTAGCGATGGCGTAGGCTGTAGTGGGGCTGGCCAGCAGCGGGCGTGAGCTTTCGTGAGCTGCCGTGAGCCGCAGTCCAGTGACTGGCGAGCAACTGCCTCTCCCAGGAAGAGCACAATGGTAATACCAACATGTGCCAGTGAAGCGACGTCCTCCACAACTAGACTGAAGAACAAAAGGACAGCCACTTGTCTGTTCCCCTTCCCCGATTCCCCAATAAAATCTTTAAAAATAAATAAATAAATAAATAAATAGAGATTGGAGTTTAGAGCTTCATACCTAAAATAGGACATGCCCACTTCCAGTGCACTTCCACAACTGCTGCAGGCTGGAAAGCCAGCGAAATAAGAATGGCTTTTATATTTTTAAATGGTTTGAAAAAAAATGAGTCAAACTGTATGTGGCCCACAAAGTAAAAAATATTTACTCTCTGTCCTCTCTCAGAAACAGGTTACCAGCCTCTGGATTAAACCGTTTGGGATATTTCTCTTAGAATAAATAGAATGGCGTTCAGGCAACTTCCTTGAGAAAAAACCCATCTTGAATAGTCATAACTTTTTTTTAAATCTGAGTGATCCTTCTCTTTAAACTATTTATAATAGTTAAAAATTTCCTTCTAGGTATGAGAGGGGTTCTCTGATACCTTGCCTTTTATTTCTTAATGGTACAGTGACACTATTGGTAGCAAATACAATTTGGATACAAACCGGATCTCATTACAGATAATTCAGAAGTTTTTAATACTGGTATAACAATTTGTTTTATATTGTTAAAACTCTACAGGGTTAAAATTGCAAAAAAAAAAAAAAAAAGAGAGAGATTTGTCCTGTGTTCATCTAGATAGAGGAGGAGGAGATTTAAGAGATGGTGTTCTACTGCTCTACCTTTTCTATAGCATTTTAGATCAAAAGCTACAAATTGCACATTCTCTGAAGGAAAATGCTTGTTAATTATAGGATTTAAGTTATGCCTAACACCATATCAACATCAAGATGAATCTCTTTTCATAGTGTCGCTCATACTCTTTGATTCTGATCACTTTCCACTGTGTTCATAAAATGAACACAAACTGGGAAGAGACATTATTTACTACCAAGTGACAGTCTTTTTCACTCCTGCAATTAACAGAGCAGAGGAGTATGCCAATTTCAATTCTGTTAGAAGTTTTGAGTTCAGGTCCTATTTCAAACTGGGCCATTTACTTGTGTGACTTTGCATATGTTGTCTTAGCCTCTATGCATGGGCGATTGCATCTTTTCAACAGTTTTTCATATCATGCACATAGTTTGAAATCCTTACATTAAAATAACAGATCTAGAAGAAGCTCATGAAGGGTGAGGTATATTGAGCCTTCAGCTGTGTAGCTTTGCTTTATCATCTGCACTCTAACCCTCTCAGCTTCTTAACATGCTCATTCTCATCGGGGCTACGCATTCTTCCCACATTATTTCTTCCAAGTTCTCTGTTTCTGTGGTTATATGCAAACATCCAACTTGACGTAGTGTATAAAAAGCTGCTAGCTGTTCTTTAAGATAATCATGTTTCTGTCTTTGTATACTTGTTTTTTTTTAATCTTGACTCGAGGTATAAGTTATTTCAGAATGATTTTTGATATATTTATATTTTTAACAAAAGTTACTTTTTTTAAAAAGCAGCTAAATTTTTTAAAGTCTCTTTAAATTTTTGAGTTTTTAGAAAGCCATGCCAGTGGTTGTGATTATTTACCAAGAAATTGAGATTCTCCTAAAAGCAATAAAGGAAAATATAAAGATTTGCATGTTGTTTGACATAAAGCTGGCGAATCCAGATAGGAATGGATATTCACTCCTGAATACTGACCATTGGCTGAAACCTACCTCTGAAGGGATAGGCTGGGTTTGCTTTCTGGATCCAAGTGCACCAGCCGTGGAATGTGCTCGCCTTTATCCAGATGGCTTATTACAGACCAGTAACGAGCCACTTAAGAGAAAAATAAAAAGTTGCCTGTTTGGCAGTTTTGTTTTGGAGACAGTTTTTATTTCCGTGCTTTAACCCTGGGCAACACCTATGGTCACAGCACACACCTGGCTAAATAAGTCCAGAGCCTTGTGTCCTTTTAACCTCTTGCTGGATTTCTCTGCATTTTCTACAGAAAGATTGTAAGTAAAATAGATGGCGACAAGGACGGGTTTGTCACTGTGGATGAGCTCAAAGACTGGATTAAATTTGCACAAAAACGCTGGATTTACGAGGATGTAGAGCGACAGTGGAAGGGGCATGACCTCAATGAGGACGGCCTCGTTTCCTGGGAGGAATATAAAAATGCCACCTACGGCTACGTTTTAGGTAGGTCCCTAATATCTGGGGGAAAAAGCCTTGTGGAGCCGGCACCTTGAAACGTAACTGTTTTGTCTTGTAGAATGATTGTAGATAAAATAGACGCGGATAAAGATGGGTTTGTGACGGAGGGGGAGCTGAAATCCTGGATTAAGCACGCCCAGAAGAAATACATATATGACAATGTTGAAAACCAGTGGCAGGAGTTTGATATGAATCAAGACGGCTTAATCTCCTGGGATGAGTACAGGAACGTGACTTATGGCACTTACCTGGGTAAGGGGCAAGATGTCAGCCTGGCAGAGACCATGGCCTTGAGTCAAAGAAACAAATGGGTCACGCAGAGAAGGAAAGGAAGAAACTGCTTATCTTAAATATCAATGCTGAGCTGCTTTCCCTTTAATTTTAAATTTGTATATTGTATATTTTAAAAATTTGCTTAATTTTGGTTTTCGAAGGTCTGACATTTTCTACATCTTTAGCATTTCAGATATATTTTACCATTTTTTCTTCCTGTTATCCTTCAGAGAGACTGTTTTGGAGTAGATCTTGTTTTAAAGGCTGCATTGTTCCAACAATGCAAAGCAAGAGGCCTTGAGATTGCTCTCGACATGGTCACATTAAAGTGTTGGACCTGAATCTCAAACAAATTAGATTCCTTTATAACTGGTGAGAATAGGAGGCAAATTAGTCTTTCCTTAATAAAATGAAGATCAGATATAATGCTTTCCTTGATAAAATTTAACTATTTCAGTATGTCTGCTTACTGAAGTTTAGAATTGAAAATTTCCCATTTGTTTTCTCTGGCACATGAGTTTATCAGCCTGCTTTGCAAATGCTTCAAAACAAATAAATGTGACTTTGATTATTTTCTGTTGATTTGGTAGCTTGTGTGCTTAGGCCACCTGTTAGTAATTTTCTTGTTCTTAGTACACTTGCCTGCTGGTGAATGCTAGGTGGCGATCTTACTGAGCTGATGATTTAACTTAAGATGTTTCTGTTAGTGAGATTCCTCTGTTGTACCCGGTCACAATTTGAGACAAGAACGTATAAATGTTACTTCTTGCATTTTTATCCCAGAAATTAGGCAAATTTCTTAGTTAAAGTGGGCACTTTCCACCAGTGAGCCAGTGAGTATATAAAGTCTGTTTCCCGCACTGGATAGCCAGCTGTCAGTGTTAATTACAGGACTGCGTGCATTTCTAGTGAGAGACTTTTATTTGTGTGTTGGGCTTGTTCTCATTCCTAAGACTGAAGTAGCAGTCTCTCTCCAAGCTTGACAGCTAGCCAAGAACCAAACATATCCTTCACCCAATTAAGAACACATGTATTAAAAAGTCAGTGCAGATGGAGAGGCATTTGTGCTGCCTGCTTTCTGGCTGGGACTCAACACCCTCCTGATTTATTTGGAATTAATTGTAAATACAAAATAAAGGATAGGCTATTGGTGATCTAAACAGAATGGTGTGTTAATAAATCTCAGCTCAGACCTAGGCACTCACTTGTGCCCTGAGTGAATCTTAAACTCGGTGTGATTTATGTGCATAAAACTCTGTTGAGAGCTCTGTTGCCTCCCTGGGCAAATGATTCAACGTAATGGGTATTTCTACTGACTGAGACTGCATAAGCTGAAGCACGGGCTGGAGAAGCAATGTCTTTATAAGGCATCTTTTCCTGGAGGCATGTGGGTGGACAGCGCCCAGGGGGTAATGAGTTGTCTTACAGAAGTGCTGAGGAGTTTTTTGCGAGGATGTTCTTGATTCAATTTAGAATTCTGGTACAAGTCATCCTAGCTTTTAATTAAAATCTGTCGTAATGAATCTGCTTTCCACAAAAGGACCGGTAACAGTGTCTCTGCCACCAGTAAAATAGGAAAAACAAAGATCCACTGTGCCTGTTTCACAACTAGATCAAGAGCCTACCCGAAGCTGGTGTAGGCCGGCTGGCACAGCAAACTGGTGCTTAGGATAGATACAGCCCTCCGTCCGAGCAGTGAGGATAGGCACGTGAGCTTAGTCAGTGGAAGTAAAGTTTACAGCTTCCATTCTCACCCTTATATATGTGCATGTTGTCAGGCTCCTTGATTCTAATTACCATGTTTTGCCCTAAGGAGGAGAAAAGGGCTTTTAGCTAAGCATCTAGTCTCATGTATAAGTTGTCTTCTGTTATCTTTCTTATATATGTTATGTAGTTGGCACTGAAACGTTATTTGTTTAGAAGAGATAACTTAGTATCTGAAAAAAGTAATATTTTCCTTAAATCCTTCATCTTCAACCGATAATGGCTTGGGATATACACAGATAGGGTTCCCAAAGCCTCATGAGTCAATAAGCTGTCTTACTGAATTTTGATGCTCAACAAAGAGTGAAGCTTCAAGCTGCTCAACGGTCAGAATAGAGCATAGTCCTTTTCTTTTTTCATTTTTCTTTTTTTTTTTAACTCTGCTTAAAGTATGGAAAGATTGAACTACAATGTCAAAAGTCAGCAGTGTGATGTTACTGTTAAAGCGACCCTCTGGGTCTTTTTGTAAAACTAGTACCATATCTTTTTTTTTTATTTGGTCAGTATATTGCAGGAACAATTATTCCTTACCTTGAATGTGGTATCTTACTTTCAAAGTGGTGATGTTCTGTTGCTTGAATCCAGGTGGCCTCTAATAGGATAGAAGGCCTTGAGATCTAGCTTCTTACTGGGAGCCTAATGTTTAATAAAAATAGCAATAGCTAACCTTTATTGAAAGCCAGTTATATACCAGGCACTAGTCTAAGCATTTTACTTAGATTGATCTGATCATTTAAACCTCATAACAGCTCTTGAGTCAGGCACCATTATCATCTCCATTTTACAGATGAAGCACTTGCCCAAGGTTACACAGGAAGAAAGTAGTAGAGTTTGGAATCAAACCCAGACAGTGTGACTTTAGAAGCGCCACTGCCCCTCAAATATAACTAGAAAACTTGAGCCCTCAAGCAGCCTTAACACCAGTACCAGTGAAGCATTACATAATGGGTTACATAGTGCAGGAACCGGGGTTCCATGTTGAATGGCAAACATTTGCATTCAACTTGGACTTGACTTTGGGGTCTTTGATTACCAAAATAGAATGTCTGTACTGCTGCAAATTTACCTGTGTAATCAAGTTATTTCTTCACTGCTTGGTTTATCTTTCTTGCAAATTGATTCCCCGGCCTACACATTTGCATATTTTCTGGAAGTCTTTTAAGATTTAACCTAAATTTTTGTTTTCTAGATGATCCAGACCCTGATGATGGATTTAACTATAAACAGATGATGGTTCGAGATGAGCGGAGGTTTAAAATGGCAGACAAGGATGGAGACCTCATTGCCACAAAGGAGGAATTTACAGCTTTCCTGCACCCTGAGGAATACGACTACATGAAAGATATAGTAGTACAGGTGGGCAAGAGCAAGGATTCTCAACAGACACTTAGTCTCTCTCTTTGGTGCTTATGCTGTCTTTCCTCTTTAGCCTTTCCTCTGTATTTGGAAGAATGACTTGCTATACAAGTGCCAGCCAAGTTGAGTCTAGGCTCTGTCTCTCTGCTTTTCTGTGACTTTGCTCAAGTCATTTATCTTAGGTGCCTTAGGCTTCCTGTTTAGTATGACAGTACTTACCATTAGATAATGTATTTTTCCATTTCACTGGTGGCTTCATATTGTAAACATGAGAGAAAATCCTATTTTTAAAAATATCCCATGACCAGTAATCAGATACCGAATAATAACAGTGATATTGAAGAATTCTCATAGAAGGCAGCTATCATAACAACACTTACAGGTGTAGACATACTCACTGATCACGTCTTTTGCTAGTATGACGTCAGCATGACTGGGACTACTAGATAATCATGGGCTTGGTGCCATGATTAAGCAGCAGAAATATTCCTGCAAGAAGACCCATAGTTATTTTAGGTTGAAGCATAAAACATTGATGTATTTTACCAGTTTTCAACTATAAAAACAACAATTTCCTATGGTTTAACCATACCTACACACATTCACATATACGGGGTGGGGGATGGGGGTGGTGTGTGTGTGTGTGTATTTTAATGATGCTAAGTAATTGTCAAAATTTAATTCATCGAGATGCTAACTTTACCTGTCTCTTCTTCTCTTCTGTCTAGGAAACAATGGAGGATATAGATAAGAATTCTGATGGTTTCATTGATCTAGAAGAGTATATTGGTAAGTTTGTTTCTAGCGTTTTTCTTAAAAGAGGCCGAGAAGCTTTGGAAGATATGTTTACCCACAGAAATGATTTACCCCATGGGTCAACTCTTAGCACATCAGGAAGCCAGACCAGTGTGAGGAATAGTGGGTTGTGAGAAAGTATCTCTAGCTGCACTGTCCAATCAAAATATAAATGTGAGCCATGTGTCATTTTAACTTTTTAATAGCCACATCAAAAAGTAAAATAAAAAGAAACAGATGAAATTAATTTCAGTGATGTATTTTATTTACCCTAATATCTATGCTATACTGTAATTTCAATGTTATCACTACAAATTATTAAGAATTTTTGTTTTTCATAGAAAGTCTTTAAAAGTGTATTTTACACTTATAGCACATCTCAGTTCGGACCAGCCACATGTCAAGTCCTCTGTAGCCACGTGGCCAATGGCTACCATACTGGACAGCGCGGATATAGTGCATCTCACATGCCCTGTGGAAGTGACAGTAAAGAGTAGCAGGGAGCCTAGACTGGCATTAGGAAACCCAGGAGAAGAAGATAGGGGCTAGACTAAACCAGACAGGTGGGTGTGAATAAGCAGGATTTCTGATTCCTCTTACAGCCTCCTCTTCTCACTATATTTTGTTTGTGTTTTCCATCTAAGTTCTCTGACTAGTTTTCTCGTTTTTGTTTTTTTAAGTCTCTCCTTTCTGCTATTTTTCCTTGTAGTTGTCTGTTTAAAAAAATTTTTTGCTACACCTTCAAGGCTAATTTCTCCCAAGTAAAGCTGTTTTCATTATCCTCAGAATAATTTCATGATTTCTCCATTGCCGTAAAAAAAGGAGCTGTCTGTTTTACTAAGTAGTTCAGCAAATTGTTTCACAAGTACTGTGATGGAAATTAAAATAGGTAAAGAAGAAGAGGTAGAAGACAATTATATGTCATTCCATTTTGAAAGAGGCCAGATAATTTTATATTTCACATTCTTATATTTACTCAGTAACTTAATTCTAGTACACCACTGGTTTTGTGTTTCATAAGCCAGTTTGTTTTCAGTCCTCTGATCTTTACCTGAAATGATTATTTTAAGCATGAAAGAGAGACTTAAACCCAGCTTTTATCACCTGTCACTTAAACTGCATTGAACAAGTCACTCTTTTACTGATTTTGTCTAATTATACCTGCTATTTATTTTCTAGAGTTACTGCAGTTGAATTACTCCTTGAAAATTTAACACTTTTTTTCTTAATGATGTACTTTGAATTTTTTAAAGAAAGCAGGGTGAGCAATGGAATATAGGATTGTTTCCCAAAATTACTATTATTTTTTAGTGGAGTTCATCAGCACAGTGGAAATAAATGCCTGGGTGCATTTACTGAGCCCATTTCATAGTTGACATTTTCTACTTTTAAATATTTTTTATCTTTTCGTTTGTGGCTCTTGCCATTTTATCACCATTGCTAAAACTGCGGGACTCATTTGAACCTCCTGAGGAGAGGAATTAAGTTTTATAACTGTGAAGTACCATCATTTACCAAGCATTGAGGCCAGATAAAGAGAGATTTCTATCTCCCTCCACATCACAAAAATACAAGGGCAGAGGAATTGTGTCTTGAACTACTGAAACCATCACCTGTATGTGTTGCTTACTTTTGCAAATCATAACTAATGCAAACACTTTTACAGCCAGATGCTGGGCTTTGTAAAGCTAAAAAGCTCCCAGGGGCTTCCAGTTGCCAAGGATGTATTAGTTTCAGTCCTTTTGAGGAAAGGTCCTAAAGAAACAAATGGGCTTTGCCTGTCACATTTAGCATAAGAAGTCCCCAGACTTATACTGTTGAATTTTTTTTATTCTCTAAATTTATTATAGAACATCAGAAGCATACACAAAATTAGATAGAAACATAGTGAATCCCCAGGTCCCTATGCCCAGTCCTAACAGCCATCAGCCCATGGCCAATCCTTGCAAATTCACATCCACTCCTTACCACTTTTTTTATTATTATTATTATTATTATTTTATTGGGGAATAGCCATGGTCATTGGTTACACATTGCTTTCATGCTACAATGGTATAGCTGACTCTTTTAGGGAGGGCGCAGCTCACAGTGGCCCATGGGGGGATCGAACTGACAACCTTGCTGTTATTAGCACCATGCTCTAACCAACTGAGCTAACCAGTCACCCCTACCACTTCTATTATAAAATAAATCCCAATCATCATCTCATTTTATCTGTAAACATTTGGTTATGTATCTCTTAAGACACATATGTATCTCTAAAAACTTATTGAACATAATCTCAAAAATTAATAATTCCTTAATATCATGATATAGATTGAATCCTTTTTAAATAGAAAGTTAAGTATTGTTCTTATCCTCTACTCATCTAGCTTTAAAATGCATTTACATTAGGTTGTACAATCTGGCTTCTATTAGAAGTATGTCTTTTAAGCACTTAAGCACACATTTATTCATTCTCTAGTTCACAGCTTGCCCATCTGTATACTGTGAGAGGTCTCCTTGACCCCCAGGAGAGCCAGGGCAAGGTGCTAGCTGAGTGATCTTAGGATCATACAAATACTACATTTTCTGAATGTGTTGTATTATGGCGGGGGCGGGGATTAGCAAGTCCTACTCTGAGGAACTTCTTTATGTTTAAGGCAGGAACACTAGTTCTACTCTTAACCTTCAAATTCAGAAAAATGACAGTCCCACTGTCAAATGACAAAAATAATATTTACTAATGAGCTTGATGTCCTTTATTCAAGGGAAACAGTCCTTGTATTGGGGGAGCACAGAGCCTCACAAGCGGGGAGCCTCTTTCCGAGGGATTTTGGGCAAAAGCCAACGGGAAGAGGCAACACGGAAACAGGACATAGTTGGCTAGGAGCGCGGGGAATTCCTTGAGGTTAGCAGGTCCTATTTTCTAGGGTCAGGGAAGCTGAGTTGGAGGATTGTGATTGGTGTATGTTAGGTTTCCATGACAGTGAGGTATTTCCTGTAAGTGTGGGTTGACTTAGGTTTAGGTTTGTGGCATAGGCTGGGTCACTGGGGTGCCCTTCATTTTGTGGATCCAGACATACAAATTGCCTTTATCACAACTGAATAACCACCTTTGCTTAGAACTGCTAGAAACTATGTAGATTTATATTAGGTGTGTTCCCATACCTTAAATGAAATGTACCTGCACTTACTTAGATGTAATATAATTTGGGAGTCTTCAGACTTTTTCACTCTTGTAATTCCTTGAAGAATTTTGACCAACCGTATTCCCTTACACATTTTAAAGTTGACATCTAAACAATTTAGAAGTTTAAACAGTTATGTAGAATAATCTGTAAATATTGACATTTTAAAGTACATTAACTCTTAAATAAATCTCATAAAATTGCAATGCTATATAGTAACTTCTTGCCCACCATCATTCATATAAATAATTTAGACCAGCTTTTAAAATAGGCAATTCAGATTTGGACTGGATATTAGATAATACCCAAAAGTTGATTTTGTAAAATATAATGGGTTTATGTATGGCTATATAGAAAATGCCCATCATTTTTAGAGATACATTCTAAAATATACTCAAGTAATTGGTTGGTAGACAGTTTTGGTTTATAATGTACTTCTCAAGCTCCCTTGAGAGTTTAAAATACCTTTCTAAAACCAATGGAATATAAGGAACAGCTAGCTAGCTTATAAAAGTCTGTATCTTGATGCTAGTCATCTCCTTAATTTCCGCGTTTTTTTATTTTTAAGAGATAAACACTCGCTTTGCTCTCATTATCACTCAAAATCAGCAGCTGGAGGGCCGGGCCGGCCGAGTGGTTCAGTTGGTTAAGAGCACAAGCTCTGAGCAACAGGGTCGCTGGTTCGATTCCCACATGGGCCAGTGAGCTGCATCCAAGCAGAGCTGCCAACAGGTGGCAGGATGGCTCAGCTGGTGAGAGCACGTGCTCCTAACAAGGTTGCCGTTTGGACTCCCATATGGGATGGTGGGCTATGCCCACCCACAACTAAGATTGAACACGGCACCTTGAGCTGAGCGGCTACGAGCTGCCATCGGGCGGCTGGATGGTGACGGCTTGGAGCTGAGCTAGCTGCGCCCTCCACAACTAAGATCGAAGGACAACAACTTGGCTGTTCCTTTTCCCCAATTCTCCTACACTTCCCCTTCCCCAATGCCCCAATAAATATATAATATATATCAACAGCTGGAAATATTGTTGCAAGATCAATAAGCTTCAGAAAAATACGTTGCTTTCTAAGATCTCTCTGACGTAAAATACCCTTGTAGCTGCTATCAGGTTCCAAACAGATGGATGAGGACGGAAGATTAGGTCAGATTAGCATGAGGGAGTCTTTGGAAAAAGGCAAACGCAACTTTTCCGTGTACGTCTGTGCTCACAGGTGACATGTATAGCCATGATGGAAATGCTGATGAGCCAGAATGGGTAAAGACAGAGAGAGAACAATTCGTTGAGTTTCGAGATAAGAACCGTGATGGGAAGATGGACAAGGAAGAGACCAAAGACTGGATCCTCCCCTCAGACTACGATCACGCAGAGGCAGAAGCCAGGCACCTAGTCTATGAGTCAGACCAAAACAAGGTAAGTCTGGCCGGGCCCAAACCACCCAGCAGTGATGGAACTCGACTCTAGGGGATTGCCTAAAAAATTCCTATTAAGGCACATAAGCATGTAAGGTCTTAATTAGTCTTAAGTCTGCTACGGACCTAAAGTTGGCATTTGAAAACTGACAGGGCAGCACCAACTATCTGATCTCATTCCTGTGCCCAGTACACATGGCATTGGAGGAATCCGGGCTTCTAAAAAGAACCTCTGTGTGTAGCTTGTGCCCTGCGCACGTCATCTGGTATCTTTGGATCCCCAAGAAATTTTGTCCTTTTTTTCTTTGTTAATTTCTTTGTTCTTTTATGTGGTACAAGCTCATTTTGCCTACTCAAAGATGGTAGTTTCCTTCTTAACTATGCTTTTTAAAATTAAGTCCTTTATAGTAGGTTATAAATAAGCTTTTCTCTGGAGCCTGTTAAAATTGTCCTTGATCAATTATCTGAGGCATTCGGTTCATTAAAAGATTGGTATTGATCCTAAGCCCTGTCACCTTTTTCAGAGATTTGAATGCTTTGCTTAGAATAACCGGAATATCAGTCTAAATTTGGAGATTTTTAGTATTCTGACCGTTCTTTTACCTAGACTAATCTTCAGTTTCAAAAGCAGTTTCTTATCATTGAGCCTTTTTAAGAGTTCAGTCTGTTTTGAGTTCTTGTTTATTCACTACAGTAGCCAGGTGCTGTGTCCTGAGGTGAGAAAAGGAAACAACGTAGTCATCCCTTGGGAACCTGGCCTGGATCGCTTTGGAGACAAGTGTCTGAGCCTTCATTTGGGGTCACGTCTGGAATCTGATTGATAGCTAGGGCGTTGTGGAAGTGAGGACCACACGATATTAGCAGATTTTGATGTTCCTGTTAGTCAGAGATTTGATTCACTCCGAACTATTTTACCCTGTTCTCGTTGACTATCATCTCTAGGAGAAGCCCCACATTTTGCCCAAAAGGGGGCATTTTCGCCTCAAGAAACAAACCTGTTACCTCAAGCATTGAGTTAATCTATATTATTTCCATCCTTCCACTTTTAACTTTTTTGATAAGAAAACAGTATTAATTGGTGTTTTCATCCCTGTTTGTATATGTGTGAGGGGTAGGGGGTCATGGAGGTGAGGGTTGAGTTCACATTTAATTTATTGGGAATTAGAACCTTGAATCTTGACTAACCACTGTTGTTCTATAGCAGTGTTTCTAAATTTGGAATGGGAAATGTATTCTGCTTCAACTTGCAATTCTTTCTAATTTCAGGATGGCAAACTTACCAAGGAGGAGATTGTTGACAAGTATGATTTATTTGTGGGCAGCCAGGCCACAGATTTTGGTGAGGCCTTAGTACGACACGATGAATTCTGAGCTGCAGACAGAGGAACCCACGTTTCTCAAAAGTAATTTATTTTTACAGCCTCTGGTTTCACACGAAATTGTTTGCGCTACTGAGACTGTTATTACAAACTTTTTAAACCGTGAAAAGGCGTAACGAAACCACCCCGTCCCCGTTCCTTCTCCTCTCTGAGGGATTGGAGGAAAACCGTGCTTCTGAGGAACAACTCTAATTAGTACACTTGTGTTTGTAGATTTACACTTTGTATTATGTATAACATGGTGTGTTTATTTTTGTATTTGTTCTCTGGTTGGGAGTATGATATGAAGGATCAAGGTCCTTAACTCATATGTGTAGGCAAAAATTAGCCCTTCACTCTTTCTCAACCCTTACCATGTAATTTTTATAATTCTGACTTAACTAATTTTTTAAGCTTGAGATCAGTAAGAAATGTTCAGGAAAGAAGAAAAGGAAAAAATATACCGCACAATTTATATTTAGAGAGCTAACACTAATCTTGCTTATTGAAAAGTGTATTTCAACAGTGATAGGGGCCATAGATTCCATTCCCTTGCTACAGAGCCAGCAACTGATCTTGGCATTATCCGGGCAAGGACAGATCCCTGTGCTGTAAGAAAGCTTGGCTCAACTGGATTTCATTCATCCTCCTTTTCCCTTCCCTGTAGGACTGGCTGTTTGCTAATTTTGTCAAGCACAGCTGTGGTAGGAAGAGTTAGGGCCAGTGTCTTGAAAATCAAGTAGTGAGTGATCTTTTTACAGAGCTATACATAGAAACAGCTGGAAAACTAACGGACAAATACAAGTGTTTTCAGGGCACACACTTTTTTCTGGGTGTGCATCTGTTGAAGTGCTCAAGGCTGTCTTGCCTGTTGAGTCACTGTAAGTGCCCCGTTTGGCCCCTGCTTCCGCAGGTGTTGGAGGAATTCTGTTTGCTTTCACTGCAGCTAAAATGTACTGCTTTACAATCGTGTCATTGAAAGTGCCTTTAACGAGAGAATTGATCACTGAAGGAGGATTTTCTTAAGAATACCCTAAGATAAAATAAAGAGATTACTTGGACCACCTTCTATGAACACTTAGAACCTCCCAATTAGTGGGGATTTTTTTTTTTTCCTCTTTCTCTTTCAGACAGTGGTTAAATAGCAGTATTAGTTAGGAGCTTGGTTGCAGTGTTCTTATTTTGTGGGCTGCTTTCCAAAAACCACATGCTGCTGAATTTACCAGGGATCCCCATACCTCAGAATGCTAACCACTTGCTACCAGGCCTGTTTCTGCGTCAGCTGGGGAACCTGAGCTCAGACTCACAGATGAGAGGACCTGCAGAGAGGGCTCTTTGGTTTGAGGACCATTGCTCACCCTTCCTGCCTTTGACCTGTCACTCCTTATTCCCCCATCGCCCCCTCTCCCCGCTGCCAGAATAAAAGTTTATCTTGGATCCACAGATTGCTAATCCTGATCAAAGAAAGGGACGTTGTAGAAAGAGCTGAAGAAACCACCCTCTATTCCCAACTCACTTGACCTATATTTTACATAACATGAACTCTTGTCTTTTTTGGTCCCTTTCTTACAGATGGACCTCTTTTGAGAGAACTTATCATATTTCAAATTTTTAGCCCTCAGGTTACTAGGATAAATATATGTATATCTAACCTTTATTATTTCATATATCTTTCTGGATAATATTCAGGTGGTGCTGGGTGATTATTATAATCTGAACCTAGGTGTATCCTTTTTGGTCTTCCATGATCGCGTTGAGGTGGGCTACTTGGCCATATATCATGTAACTTCACCCCAGCCTTTGCATTGAGCTCTTGAGAGTAGATACACTCTTTTACGTTTAACCCCAGTATCGGGGAATGGAAATTCCCTGCCCTCCAGAGTCCCCATTTTTATTGTTAAGAAGACCGGTGATAACTAATAATGCCACCAACCCTGACTTAGAGCGAGCACATCATGACTGCAGCAGGAGAGCCTCTCAGCACACTAGGGCCGGAGGACCTGGCCCTTATGCTAAAGTCACGCACTTAGAAAGCAAACCTTTATCTGCTAAGACAGCAACCTCTGGATGCTGGGTGCTCAGCAGCAAGCATTGTACTCTAATCTCTAATGATCCCCCTGGATTATTTTTTTGGTTTAACTCAAGGTTGGGGCTCGTGGACGGTAGCTGCACACCCACACTGTGTCCTGTGAACACTAGCTCTCTGGAATTTGGATACTGGTTATTTTTTATAGAGTGTAAACCAAGTTTTATATTCTATAATGCAAACAGGTACCTATCTGTTTCTAAATAAAACTGTTTACATTCATTATAAGATATGTATGGCTTTTATTCTCTTAAGAAATGGGACTCTTGCTTAGAATTATGGGTGCTATAAAATGTCACAGAAAAGGAGCTTTCCTAGGTTTACCATACCCCCTCCCCAACCCAGAGAAGTTGCAGCCTTCTCCCAAATTGGTTCCTCTTTTCTTTCTGTTCTTGAAATCTTTTAGCATCCTCTCTATGCTATAACCCTTCTCTCCTCCCTTAGGCCAGATAACTGCACATTACATAATTATCTGATACCAAAAACAAAGCCACTGCTGAATGTACACACAACATTTATATTGATTTTTATTTCAAAAAAGCTCTTTTTCATGGGGTAGAGAGGGGGAGTATAAAGTAGAAGGTAAAACAAGTTTTTGAACATTTTAGTGTAGTTTATAAATGGTGTTAAGATGTGTAATTTCATTTTGAGAAAATGAAGGGAATTAAACCGTTAACTTAGTAAATGTGCAGCAAAAGGCATATATAGGTTTGGCCAAATAGGAGGGGAGAGGGAAAGGAAACACCTGGAATCATTCATGCTGGCTCAGGGGCTTATGGACGGGTCTGTCCCTGCCAAAGACAGCGATTCTTGGCAGAAATAGCATAAAGAAATGATTTCAAACTCATTTGGGTCCTACTAGAGGTTTTATTTGTTTTTTCTTTATGTCTCCCTTTTCTAAGGTATTTTCTTAAGTTTGTCCTAATTCAGAATGTATTGTCTCAGAACAGATGCCCAGTAGGAAAAAAAATATTACTAAAAAGGAAAATAATTGCTATCCATACACTGAAAACGCAGCCATACTCCTTTAGGGTTGCCCTGTATGTAGAGATCGGTTCTCCAAGTGCTGTGAATCGTGCCATTTAGGAGTAGAAACTGATGGTGATTGAAATGGGTGTAGGGTGTCCAGGTGGACCCAGCTGGAAGAGTAGCTTTGTGGATAGGAAGGAAATAAAAGGAAAATGGAAAATTGACTCCTCAAATTGCCATTACTCCCCTTCCCATCTGTTTTCTGCATTGTTAGCAGAACAAGTAGAAATTTTCTTAAATGTAAAACCCTAGTTGCTGCAGATCAGCCAATATGGCGCCTTAGTTGGGGCCAACTTGGCTTGAAGAGAGAGTAGAAACTTCTGTTTTTCTGGGAGCTGGACATGACAGATTTATCTGTCATGGACTTCCCTCACACCATCTCCAAGCCCGGAACTGGAGGGAAAGGGCAGAAGTGAAGACAGCCCCTCTGGCAGGACAGTACAGAGGAGGTAACACCAGGAAGGGGGCGGGGGGAAGGATCTCGTTTTTTTTGTATCCCCAAAGCCTCGAATGATACCTAGTACTCAGGATCCCCTCAGGCGGTGCTGAGGATATCTTTCCAATCCTGGGAGATCGCTGGATTCCAGTCTAGGACTACTCGCCTCTCATGGTCTATATTAATCCCTACACGCTCTGGCTGACTCAGAGGCCTCACTTGGGAAAGCACAAAGCATCCTGCCTCCTGGAAGCACTGGCAAACGTGGCCTCAGGCCTGCCCGCCCACCCACCCCCATTCCTAGACAATGCTCCCAATGGGGACAGGACTGCAAATAATGTTCCCATCCAGGTTTCACATTCATTTCTAATCCATCTCTGGGATTGAAGAAACAAAATCTCAAAGCAGAGTGTTTGCTCTAAAATACAGAAACTCCTGGATTTGTCTTGAGATTTTTTTTTTTTTTTTAAGCTCAGATTCAGGATTTGGGATAGTCCACCTGGTACCTTCCTAAGCTGTTTTGGAGATTTAGGCATGTGTTGGTATTTCTGTGCTTCGTATATGCTGCCTGCTAGAAGTTGGACAGGAAAGGATTAAGAACTCAGGAGTTGGAAGGACTAGATGTAGGAGAACAATTGATCTGTCAGTTTTTCAACAAAACAAAATCTTCACTTATCTTGCTCTTTGGAGCAACTCAAGTTTTATGGCTCAAGTTCTGTCTTGACTCGATGGCCACACCTTCCTCCCTGTGCTCACCTAGGGCTTCCCAGCCTACTGAGGGCTTTGTGGCTTCCCTCGTTCACTCCTAACTCTGAGTCCAAGGTGCCCTGAGCTAAACGTCATCGGTGAGAAGAACCAGGTCTTACGGACTAAGGTCTCATAGGAATGTAAATGGAAGCTTTACCTGCTTATTCATGAAGCAAGAGATGATGGATTGTAGATGCAAGCACTGGGAGGAGAAGGCAGGAATGGTGACAAGCCGTAAGTCCAGCCATTGGTGACAGCTGTTGACCATAGACATGGCCAGGGCACATAGTGTGTTTCCCCGAAAGTAAGACCGGGTCTTATATTAATTTTTGTTCCAGCAATCTACATTTATTCATTTAGGCATGTACAGAAATCTACATGTATTCAAACAGTCATATCTGGCTGATGATCTTAACTGGGGCTTATGTTTGGGGTAGGGCTTCTATTACAAGCATCCTGAAAAATCATGCTGGGGCTTATTTTCCGGTTAGGTCTTATTTTCAGGGAAACACGGTATCAGAGACAAAAGGATCCCACCAGCACCACCACCATGTGGCTCACCTCCCGCTCAGCCTTCTGGATCGAACTCCTGCTGTTGGGCTGCAACCTGGGCAGAGCACAGAAAACATGACGTCCTCTTCTCCCTGACCCTCAACTCTCAGATCTCTGGATGCTTTTCTACCGGGGGGGGGGCATCTGCCCCAATTGCTTCGCTTCTGCCCCAGCTTCTGGCCTAGTCCTCAGGGCTCTGCCTCCTTGAGGAAGGCAGGATGGAGGTGTGTCTCCGGTCTGTGACATCGAAAGGGATCCCATACATCTCTTGACACCCATATTGGAGCAGGGATGCCTCCACCTTATTCTTCATTCCATTTCACCATTCTCCCTGCCCGCTCTTTGCTTTTAGATCCCTCTACCTGGCTATGGCATTTCCAGATATGTTCTGGAACACTCCCGCACTCTCCCGTCTCACCTAGAGCCCCCCCTGACCCCACCTCCCTGACCCGCACAAAAGCCCCTCGCGGCTCTAAGGGCCCCCAGCAGCTGAGAGTAGGAGAAGCAGATGAGGGGGAGAGGCCCAACGAAGCAGAAGATGAAGAGGAACCAGGTATAGTACTCACTGTGATACTTGGTGCCCATGGTGTACCAGCCGGAGCCACAGGAACACTGTTCCGGGAGCACCTTAGTAACAGCCTCTTGGAGGAGTACAGGGCAGCTTGACAAGGCCCAGAGGTCTAAGGCATCCCAGGCTGCCTGTTTCCTCATGTTGAGTGCCGAGAGAGAGAACCTTTCCTGCTCAGACCTCCCCCAGCCAGGCTAAGGTTGGTTTGCTCACTGTCCCTCTGGCACCATGTTCATGCTTGTCCCTGCCCTTAGCTCAGCAGCACCCAATGTGCCACGGTCTTCTTCCTGTCTACTCAACCAAGCTGCCCAGGTTCACAGCCTAACTTGCCAAGACCCTTGTGTGAAGCCCACCCCAGAGATGCCAGCTCGGCTGCAAGCTGCACCTGTGCTTACACTCCACACTACACTTCATCCCATGACTGTATCTTCTTCCCCACCTCACTAGGCTGTAAAGATGTCTATAAAGTGATATTTTAATATAGATAAGTTAAAAGTGAAAGGATGGCCCAGTAATGGCAGAATAAGTAGTATATATCAGGTAGAAATTATAAACTCTGGACAAAATATGGAAGAAAAAAAACAAAAACCTACTTGAAAGCAGTATGAAGTGCCCCCAAACAGGCAGAAACTAAAATGACTCAACCCTTGCATGAAAGAAACCATCTACATTTAACTGGACTTCTTCCAGACTGCACTCCTCAGCCTAAATGACAAGGGACAGCTGGAACTCAAGCAGAATGCCCCAGCCTTTATTGGCTTGAGTCAGAGGACAGCCCGGGATTCCAAAGCAGCTGAAAATCAAAGGTGGGCTTCCTGGAATGAAAGAGGGGAGTATAGAAGGAGGAAGCCTTCAAATCTGCATTTAAACTCCCCTCAGGTCCTGGGATGATTGCTGAGCTGTGCAGGGAGGAATCTCCTTGGAACCTGGCAGAAGGCAAGAACTGGAGGTCTGCAAGCCGAGCAGAGACTTGGGCTGCTGCCCACTGCAGCCAAGAGTTTGTGTTCAATCCGACCAAGTTAAAGGAGCCGGGCAAACACTTCAGGCCAAAAGGCCACATCTTAGGACTAAAATCTATACCCCTTGGATACTGAGCTAGAAAGGCTAGATGGAGAGTTGTCAGCTGTTTCTGAAAGACACATTTACACACACACACGCACTCCACACAGACACTCACCCACAGGTAGGATTCCGGGCAGAGATTCCTGGCAAGATCCAGCTAAGGGTCCAGGAATTACAAACCACTTGGCCTCCACTAGATTGCTTGAGTCAGTGCATCCCTTGCTCTGGGCAGGCCCTTGGACCAGGACCAGAGGCCACCCCTGAAGGCTTAGCCTGGGCTGAGTGCAGTGAGTCAGCCTCAGCTGTCTGCAGGGCTCTGCTGAGGCGCCCACCTTTGCAAATGGTCCTGACAGGAGCCTGAGAGGGCAGCCCCTGGAATTGGGCTTCCATCCCAACCGCTGTGGGTAAAAGACACCCCAGACCATCTTCACTATCCAGGCGAGTGGCTGCATCTTTGGCGTCTGCCAGTACTGTCCTGACACCTTCTCAGACAGTCCCTTCTCGCCCAATTCCACCCCATTCAGAAGCAGGGGCAATGGGCCCAAGTTAGGGGCAACCCAGCCCCAGCTAAGAGGGGGCAGATGCCAAAAAGAGCCAAGAATAGAGTCTCACTGGCACCTCAGCAAAGGGACAAAGATTTCCAGAGTCATTGAAGCCATGGAGTAGGGGGAGGGGAGCATGGAATAAAGAATGAAGGTGGGCCGGCCGAGTGGCGCGATGGTTAAGAACTCGCTTGGGATGCCAGAGGGCCCCGGTTCGGATCCCACATATGAGGGCCAGTGACACTGCCCTCTACAGCTAAGATGCTGAACAACAGCTCAACCTGGAGCTGGGCTGCCATGAGTCGCCGGCAACGGCATAGGCTGCAGTCCCTGTGGCAGTGGGTTGCCATGGGCTACTGTGTGTAGCCAGCAGCCAGCATGAGCGGCCAGCAGCCAGCATGAGCGGCCAGCAGCCGCCGTGAGCGACCGTCCAGAAGCCAGTGACTGATCTGCCTTGCCCAGGAAGAGCGCAATGATGGTGCCAACGTGGGCCAGTGAAGCAACATCCTCCACAACTAGACTAAAGAACAAAAGGACAGCAACTTGTCTGTTCCCCTTCCTCCAATCCCCCAATAAAAGTCTTAAAAAAAAAAAAAAAGAATGAAGGTAATGATAGAAAAATAGGAGACATTTTAAGTACATGTAATACATATAGTGCCCTTTTCAGATTTAAAGTCACTTTATTAATTTAGGAACATGATAATACACTAAGGCTTTACACAAGATCATGTTAGGTATATTTAGACCAGGGTTTCTGAACCTCAGCATTATTGACATATTGGGTCAGACATTTCTTTGTTGGGGAGGCTGTCCTGTGCATTGTAGGATGTTTAAAAGCTCCCTGGCCTCTACCCACTAGATGCCAACAGCACCACCACTGCAGTTGTGATAACCAAACACAAAAGTCCCCTGAGCGGCAAAATCACCCCCTGCTCTCCCAAACCTCTGGTTGAGAACATCGATTTAGATTTGAACTTATAAATGCCCAGAACTAAATGGAAAACAATCAAGAGAAAAGTCGTTTTTCCAGTCATTCTAATTGTCCAGAAAAAAAGGAAAGTCCTAGAAAAAGGATATTTTCTGAAGAGTTCCTGGATTCCCCCTCCCCCATTTTCTAGAAGTTTATCCATTTAAGCCCCCACCTTTTCCAGAAATAGCTTAAAGGAGGCTTGCAGGAATATAAGGGACACAACAGGAAATTATGCATCGAATGTAGGAACAAAAGAAGAAAAAGGAACAGCAGCTCAAGAGCCAGGAATGAAACTGAAATATGACCATGGACGATACGTTTGTGCTTTCCAGCATCTACTTACTTACACAATTCAGTGTCCAGAAAGTAAACACAAACCAACTGTTCTTGGGATTATGACAGACAATAATGCCTCCCCAAGGACTTCATAAAGGAGACATTAGTGTGACATAATCAACAATGTCCTCAACAACTTTCCTGAGTAGACACAGCCAGTTTCACAGGACTGGGTCTCCTACTGTCTATTACCCCTCAATATGGACTTGACACAATTTGCAACTAGACATAAACCAGAGCCACCAGGATGGGGACCAATACCAGCTGTGCTGGGCTGCTCGGATCCAGAAGACATTTCAGCTCCCTGGAGGCTTGACGTGCCTTTGCCCCTATCCTCTCTAATCATTGCTTCCCTCTGCTTAGTTTTTTTTTTATATTTAATTTCTGTTTTTGAGTAGATTATATACATACACATACATACCCAGGGCTCAAAATTTAAAGAGTACAAATGAATATACAGTGAAAAATAAGTTTATTTCCCAGCCACCCAGTTTTCCTCTCCAGAGGCAACCAGTGTTCACTTTTTGCTGTGTTTTTGATGTTATGTATGGTACAGCTCTGACCCCCGGTGACCCTATGAATGAGTGATGTCCACCATGTTCCATCCTCACAGCCCTGCTCCGCTCCTGTTGACTCATGCCTATGGCTTCTTTTATGGAGTCCATGCGTCGCATATTTGGTCTTCTTTTCCTGCTGCCTTCTATTTTTCCCAGCATTGGTGTCTTTTCCAAAGAACCCGGCCTTTTCATGATGTGCCCAAAGTAGGACAGCTTCAATTTTGTCATTTTTGCCTCCAGCGATGCTTCAGGCTTAATTTGCTCTAGAACACTATTTTCTGGTGGTCTGGCATATCCATAAATCTCTCCTCCACACCACATTTCAAAGAAATCATATTTTTCCCCTATCAGACATCTTCACTGTGCAGCTGTCACATCCGCCCATAGTAATTGGGAATCCGAGGGTGTGGATGAACTTAACCTTGGTCTCTAATGATACATCTTTGTTCTTGATGAGCTTTCCTTATTTGCCCATAGCTGCCTCTCCTAGTCTCAGCCTTCTCTTGATTTCTTGGCTGCCGACTCCATTAGAATTGATGACTGAAGGAAGGTAAGCAAAATCTTTTAACAATTTCAGTCTCTTCATTGTCTAAGTTAACGTGCTGACAACGAGCTTGAGATGATAGTTGTGACAAGCTGTCTGTTAAATACTGACCCGTAATGCTCTCCATATAAGTGATGAGATAAGGGAAAGGTTGACATGCCCTTGTGAAAATGAGGGATCATTGCCTAATTAAAAAACCACCTTCATGGCTGGGAGGAAAGAGAAGAAAGTCTCAGAAGTAGGGCCACGATTCTCCCCAGAGAATTCCATCTGTGGCTTTTTAAACACAGAGACAAACGAGCCATGGTGAGCCTGAAACCCTACTGCCTAGAGGAAGGCTGCAGTAATTTTTTAGCCTGGAAAAAAAAAAAGCACAGTAGGTGCCAATGGATTTCCACCGGGGCAGCCCTCCTCTCCCCTGATGTCCACAATCCTGGAGACATTTGGAAGTGTGTGTGTGTGTGTGTGTGTGTGTGTGTGTGTGTGTGTGCGCACGCGGGAGGAATAGGGGTGGGGAGAGGATGTATGACTGACCCATTATCAGAGGAAGGATTACTGGAATTGGGTGGGCAGGACGCTGCTTCAGACAGGCCATACAAAGAAGAATGATCCTGCCTCAAATTCCAACAGCACCCCCAGAGTGAAGCACTGGCTGGGGCCCAGGCTCTCCTCAGTCCTGAAACATTCTCGGCAAAAATCCCCCTAGGAGCCCTCGCTGGGAGCAACCTCACTCCCTGGCACACCCACCAAGAGGAACAATTTAGGGAATGTCTGCTGAGGTAATGGAATGACGCCTTGAGTGTGCTTTTATTTATCAGACAGTTCACAGCTGCAGGATGGCTACCCAAAAAAGTCTCCCTGGCTTGAGACTGAATGAGTTGTTGCCTTTCTCTCTGGACTTGATTAGTTCGCAGAGCTAATTGTCTGGTCTAGATGCTCTTGGGTGGAGATAATGAAATTTTATCTCCTGGGTA